TCCTTGCTCAAGGCTACTCAAGGTGAAGCTGTAAGAAATTATTATCATGAGATGCATGTCATTCAAGACATGCTTGTTCCTCTTTACAAGGTTGATGATGCCCTCGAGTGGGTCGACCGAGAGATGGAGGTAAATTTTATGTTCTTGCACTCGTTTTTCCTTTTAGTACCTCATCATTGTTTTATGTTACTATCATCCATCTCACTCTTAAAGGTGGAATGATATATATATTGTTGGTTCTCCAGGTCTATCCCATTTGGCTCTGCCCACACCGACTGTTCAAGCTTCCAGTCAAGACAATGGTGTATCCCGAAGCGGGCTTCGAGCATCATCACAGACAGGGCGATACACAATATGCTCAGATGTACACAGATGTGGGGATCTATTATGCACCGGGCCCTGTGCTGAGGGGTGAAGTCTTTGATGGTGCAGAGGCGGTTCGCAAGATGGAAAAATGGATGATCGAAAACCACAGTTTCCAGCCGCAGTATACCGTCTCCGAGCTGAACGAGAAGGATTTCTGGAAGATGTTCAATGCCGATCTCTACGAGCACGTCCGTAAGAAGTATGGAGCTGTAGGAACATTCATGAGCGTGTACTACAAAAGCAAGAAAGGAAGGAAGACCGAAAAGGAGGTGCAAGAAGCCGAACAAGCACACCTTGAGACCGCGTATGCAGAAGCGGATTAGTCAACTACTGGGGGGGTGGACTGGCTTTGAGGTAATGATCTTTGGTATAATTTATCACATTCAGTGACGAATCTTTGCATCTCCTTGTTGTCTCTTTGTTTTAATATTTCTCTCATCAAACTTAGTGTGTTATCAGATGTGTTTAGGCATCGATGAGTTAGGTTAATGTTGATTGCTGCACCAACATGGCATCATGGGGATGTATGCCTTTGAAATAATGAAAATTTTCCGGTTCATTAGAAAAATTTAGACCTGTGCAAGTGTTGGGCTAAACCGCAGCCTATCGGTCTGGAAGACTGAACCGAATTGAATATCGGTTTTTAAATGTCTGATCTTATTTAAAGAATTGTACGTATCAACCTACTAGACTATTTGATTGTTGGTGATAATGACCTTATTATTTGTGATCCTTCATGCTTTCATATATATGATTCAATTTTAGTGTTATAAATGAAAACAAGTAATCTTATAACGAATTTATGTAGTATCGAATTTGAATCAATCGTTTAACAGATTATATATTATCGATAACTATAAATAACATTATTATTATTATTATCATTTCGTTCGTACGTTATACCGAATTCATTACAAATTTAAGATGAGATGATACTAATTACGAAACTAATTCTTGTAATCTATCTTAAAAATATATATCTAAAATTTTAAAATTTAAATCTCAACATCTACTATAAAAATCACTGGGTGTGTCTCTTAGCTGAATTTCGAAGGCTATGAAAATACCTTGAAATAAAATATGGGCAACCAAAAAAACTTGGAATATTTTGGCAATCTTTTTCTTCAATGTGATCACCTCCACTTCCCTGTGAACTCAAATGGCTGAGCTAAGTCTTGCCCTCGTATATATAACTGAGCTGCTGCCACAGAAGAACGCCTAAACCGATACGCTATCGGAACTTTCAAATGCCTGAGAGATCTGTATTTTACCGGTGGCCAGATATGTAACCCTATTTACGTGGACATGATCGAGAAGTAGATCGTACAGAATACGGCTACGAAAAGGAAGGCGATGAACTACCGATGATTCGCTGCACCTACACAGTTCCCTATCTGTATGCAACAAAAGGAAATGGGAATCAATCCCGGTTCCATAACATAATATCAAATAGTTCCGGAAACATTCTTAGAACATAGCTTAATACTTACAAAAGGACAGTGATGATCCATGTCCAAAACACATGTTCCGAACTTCCACACGAACTGCAGTAGCAGAAGGTATAGTTTTTGAGGTCACCTTTCCCTACGACCGGATAGCTACCCCACAGTACGGTTGGAGGTGTGCCGGCACATCGGAATGCCGATAAGCACAAGGTCAAAACAGTAGTTGCAGCCAAGATCACCTGCATTTTCATGTCAATCATCACAGCAGAAGGGACTTGTTTAATGTTATGCAAATAAGTGTAAAATGTATCAACAAGAGCAAGATTATTGTAATAACACCCGAAACTCGGGTTATTAGTTTGGGTTAACCCGAGACCTTTAAGTCAAGTCAATTAGACTTCCCAAGATAGTTGGACTAAGTTATATAGGTATTGGGCCTAAGATAAGCCCAAGAGTTAAAGCTAAGAGAGTTTTAAAGTGAGTTAATAGGTGAAGTACCTCAAGTGTAGTTTACCCATTTTGTTGAAGCTGAAACTTTTCCCGCTCTTTTTATATCGTTTCACGTAACCAAACTCCCTATAATATCTCACCCATTCTTCTTCTTCTTCTTCTTCTTCTTCTTCTTCTTCTTCTCCTTTCATTAGTTTCCATTTCTTCTTCCTTTCAAGAGCCAAGTTTCAAGTATTTCAATCTTAGATTTGTTTAGCCAAGATAAGAATGTTTCTCTCCGTCCTTCAATCTTTGTTTAAAGCTCCATTTTATGAGTTTTAGAATTTGTTTTCAAAATAGGTTTTTAGGAGTTTGAAAGGAACCTAGAGATTTAAGCTTGTTTTGAGTAATATTAAGTAGTATAGAGTGTTTTAACTTAATTTTCAAGTTAAAGACAAGTTAATAACCCCTAGTTTTGTTTTGATTAGCCAATGAGGTGGGTGAAATTCTAAAGCAAAGGATAAAGGTAAGGTGACTCCTAGTTGAGTTGAGGGGGATTTTAGCAGCCAAGTAGGTCAAGTAACACACTATCAACTCTTACATACTCCTAGTGATCATTAGAAATGAGTTCTAGCTTGACAGTAAGTTATGAAAGTTAGAGTTATATGTTAATAGTAGATTACATGATTTATGTTATAAGCATGATATAAAGCCTTTTTTATACTCCTTGTAATCACATAAGACTTTAAAGAATGTTTGGGGACCTCATTAGGGTTTTTGGGATTGAAATATAGTGTTTCCATATGTGTTTTATGACTTATGCAGGTAGAGTACCGATACTATAGAGATAATATCGATACTTGTTCTTTGTTTTGGGCAAATTCATGATTTTTTAGGCAAGAGTATTGATACTCTTTCAAAAGTATCGAACCTTTGGGTCATAGTTTTGAAACTCCCAGAAAGTTTCGAAACTGAGCAGAACAGAATGTTTAAAAGTATGAGTACTTATATAAAGTATCAAAATTTTTGCAGGAGTATCGATACTTAAGGGTTAGTATCGATACTTTCAGTATATTTTGGCCAAAAAGTTTCCCAAGAGGCCTTAGATCCATAGTATGACCATAAATGGGATTGAATAGGTGTAAAACACTAGAATAAGTGTTATAGAATGTGTTTAAAGTTGGGTTACAATGGATGAAATAGTTGTAGGTTATCGATACCTTGGGTAGAGTATCGATAATGTAGAGAGGGTATTGATAATGTATGGCCAATGTATGGTTTGAGCTTTAAAGAATGAGTAAGTGTAGAGGCAAGCAAGGGTATCGATATTGTAAGGTACCAAGGTTGAGAAATGGGCTTTAAGTCAAGAGAAAGTATAGAGGTAAGTAAGATTTCCCAAAAGCTTATAATTTCTCTCAAATAAGACTACAAGTGAGAACATTTATTAATCTTTAATCCAAACGTAGAAACGAGAATAAAGTATGATCAAATAAAACTAGCCTTGTTTGAATGCTTGGGAAACGACCAGGACACCAAGTTCCTTTAGAAAAGTTAGCATAGTCGAAAGCATAGATACAGTCCGGATATATCCTTAGGGAGTGCGCAAGACACTTTAAGCTAACTAGTTAGGGCGCAAGGTCCGACACTCAAGGAGTGGACTAGTTGAGAGTGTGGTGTCCAATGCAGAGATTTCGGGGGCCACATTCTCGGTAGACTAGAGGGGTGTGTGAGCTCTGAGATGAAGAACCCTCAATTGCACCATGATATCTACCATAGAATAGAGAGTGAGTATACGAGTATACTCACTAAAGCAGAACAGAACATACCAGTAGACTAGATAGCAGTAGACCAGATAGTAGCATACTTGATAGCTTAAGCATTTCAGTGATAAACTTTTAGTATGTTTTAGTTGTTATTATGGCGCTGAGCTAGTTAACTCAGCATTCGGATGTTTCCGTGGGCAGGTTAGTATATTCGGCAGTTGAGAAGCTTTAGAGAGATCGAGGTCCAAATCCAGTGCAAAGCAGAGTACGCCACAAGTTTCTTAAATGACATGTATATTCATGAATTCAGTTGTATTGAGTTGTAAAGTCAGTTAAGAGTCAATATGTAAGTATCTATATATTTTGAGGGCTCTTAGATGTAAAGAGTCGTTTTAAAGTACAAGAAAGTAAAAATAAGTTGATTAGCCATTTCGGTGGTTACATGTATCACCTTAAATCAGTCGACAGTGTGTCGTACTGGTCTAAAGTGTTACAATTATAGTTCTCCACTTCATGCCTTTATAAAAACAAATGATAAACTAACACGAATGCACCAAGAACCACATCAAACATTCGATAAAACCCTACGTTTCAGAATGTCAAACAAAGTCCTAAAGATTACCCACCTAGAATGCAGATAAATTTAAATTGTCCAAGAGGAATTAGAACATAAAAATACCATAGCATCAAGAGGGAAGGGTGATAATTTTGTTCTCCTTCAATAAAAATGGATTCATTTATGGATTCTTAGCTCACTTGGTAGAAATCCAGTAGTCATTTAAGGATTCAAACTTTAATTTTTAACTACTCCTTGATTTAATCCTTTAATAAAAAATCCAGTAGTCATTTAAGGATTCAAACTTTAATTTTTAACTACTCCTTGATTTAATCCTTTAATAAAAATATTAATTTAACTTTAAAACTTAAATAAGATATTAATTTAATCCATAAATCCAACCAAGAAATTTTCGTGGAAGCTTTTCAACTACTCCTTGATTTCTCTTTATCATAACAGCTCTAATAAAATACCCTGAAAGAGTAAGAATCCGGACCAACCCGGGAACATAACAACATAAGAACGATGAAGAAAAAGAACATGCAACATAATAACCGAACCACCATGTCCGCATGAGTTCCAGGGTCGGAGGTGGTGCATTACCCTTCCAAAGGTACGGCTACCAACTATCGAAACAGCAAGAACGAACAAGATCTTCATTGGAGGAATGATGTCATTAATGAGCGAAACACTCTAATCATGTTCCTGCCCTAAACCACGAAGACCGCATCGAGAAAGTGGCTCGACAGAGGGAGAGAATGTGCAGGAAGGAAGACAAACTCACTCGGTGAAAATGGTGATGGATGCAGCCCCAGAAAACATAGGGTCATTTGCTTCTGTGCAACACCCTCAATTCTTGGCTGCTTTGCTTCGATGGTAGAAAGAAAGTATCGTACACGGTTTTCAGGTTCCAACAATCACCCGAGTCCCATATAATACAATTAGACTGAACCCGATAAGTCCAATTCTACACTCCAGTTGCCGAGAACCATTTGCTGAAGTTATGTAACCCAGTAAACAAGTTCAAGAAAGAATGAACAAACCAATCTGCAGGTAGCAATCGAATAATGTCAAATGTGACAGATGGGAAATGCTAATATTTAGCTTTTCTTCATAAAAAAAAGGAGAAGCATAAGTGTATTCTTACATCTGTCACTGTGAATTTGTCCAAGGAACTCACTGGTGGCATCAACCATTCTAATAGATACACGGAACCATTTGGATACCCATCATTAACCGAATCATCATCTATGGCATAGCAAAGACAACTTAGATGCATATTCCATATTAAGAAATAAAGCACTGCATGTGTGAACAAATTAGTGGCATATTGAAAGAAAAATTGGAACCTGTAGCTTGTACGAGAATCCTGTGTGTTACAAAAGACTGCAACAAGCAGAAGGAATTATCAAGTAAAAATCCTACAGCAAGTCATATTTAAGAAGCCTCTGAACTCGATTTAACAAACAAAAGATGGTGACTCCATTATGTCTTAATGCACTTTACAGATATCACAAGATGCAATGCCTCAGGATGATCTATAAAGAGAGATACAACTTGTGAACAAATGCACAGTTAACATCCTATAATAATCCTTCTACATAGAGAAAATTTTAGATAATCACTGTTTTACTTATAAAAATTTTATTTGTATAATTTCAACGTTTAACCAAAAGGAACAATCTCGAATCATATACTTTTAAAATATTTAGGTAATCTAGAGTTCATAAAATTTGAAATGACGTTAATGGCAGTATAGGGAATATTTGCAAACTTGAACTGCCAAACAACAGTCAAGCTTATAACAAGATTCTTGCGTGTGTCCTCAAAAATATTCTCATGAAACATAAAACAACCTACTCCTAGTCACACGGCATTACCTGCCAAACAACAGGCATATACTCGCGATATGGAAGTTGCTGGTCACTACTTGTTACATTTCTTGAATATGGGTTATCCACTGCAGGCCATTTTCCGTAATTCCTGACAAAAAGATTAATCATTACCTTTCAAATTTACTAGGAATAAGACTTCCATAAGAGAAAAGAAATAATAATATATGCATTAACACTATAGGCTCTGGAATGTACCTTTCTGTTAACTACAGTGACTACATTTTCTTAACAAAGATACTTGCTCTTAATTAAAACGAGAACATGAAAACAACACATGGTACCATAAAAAGGGTAAATAAAATGAAACAGAAACTAAAATCCAAATAGACATTATGAATACTCGTAATTCTAAAGCATCCCATCTTTATAACTTAAACCTGTAGAGCAATTCAACCCTATAGGGAAAATGCCATTAGTTGAAGTAATTTCCAGTAACTGATATACGTATAAAGAACACTATAATTGCATGATATTCTGCCAGAAGCTAGACAGTAATGTGAAGATGCCAACTGCATAAATAGCATTTCTACAAGTATAATGGAACCTACCGTGTTAACTCATTCGTTGAATACTTGTTGCCTAAGACAACTGCTTTTGTAGCCATCACAAGCATGGGATGCAATGATAGGAGCCTTCTAATCTCCTGAACCACTGCTTCGGATACATTTTGAATATTCCAGCTTTTCCTACATGTCAACCAAAATTTCCTTATTGCATATTTACAACTTATGGGAGGAAATGATTAAACTAGATGCGACAGAGTTTCAAAAGATTGCTAGAGAACTGTCCAACAGATATAGAAATTGTACCTATTATCACCCTTCAGTGAAAAAGATGATGAACCACGATCTAGCCAATGAAATGCTCCAATGCTGGTGACAATTCATACATGTCAGATGCTATGGAATTAGGTAATCCTATCTGTTATTAATTCGGAAAGATTTTACATTCGATACTTTCCATCTACATCTCAAAACTAACTCGAACTTCTGTCCATTAGCATTGTTAAATTTTGGTATTTACACCAACATTTCAATGGATTTCAGGCACCCTCGATCACATATCACATTAGCTATTCTTTTCAAGGAACGCTGTTCAGTATGATTCTTCAACAACATGCTGATAGTATAAAAACTTAGATATGCTTGAACTTTTCTGAGAAAGGGTTTTCCCCCCTTTCTGCTTCCGAAAACTATTAGCCAAATTACTTTAGTTGATTCTTTCTAAGGAGATCTTTTCACTCAATTATATGGATAAATGTTACAACTTACAACTGAATGTTCTTCCCTAAGCTATCACCAATGAGTTCAACATCTATAATACATGTCAATCCATAATCAAACTACATGCTTTAACCAACATTTTCCAACTGTTATATCAATAATATAAAGCAAATCAAAGAAAATAAAAGGTAACCAGTGTAACGGATTGAATTAGAGGGAGATCAAAGCCAAACCTATCAATCAACAGCAAATGAACATTAAGACCATGCGTGTCCCTATCCTTTTGAAGCCGATAGTGTAACGTCTGTCATACAGAAAAATATTACACAAACCATAAAATTTATATCTTTTTTTTCTTTAACCAAGACAGAAATCTAGATGATCACATAAAGAACTCAATCTTTGCACCAAATTTACTCCTATATATGTCCTTACACAAAAGAAATCATTGCATTACTTAGGTTATATTAAGGCAAACCTTTGTCCCTCACCTTGAGAGTGGCAAGAAACTCAGAACTATCATAACAACGGATGTACAGAAATCGTTTCATGCACAACGCAAACAATTCCTCATTGTAATGTTTCATTCTTGCAAATTGAGCTTCAGAGTCCATTTTGTTACAATCTACTTTACAGCTTGATCCTAAACAGATAGGACCAAAAGCTTCATTAAAAACAAAACATGGGCCATGAAACAGCTAACAATTTCAATCAAAAAGAAGGATTTACAGTTACCCGCTTCCGTGATTCTACGGTTTAGCAATTCCGAGAAACGTAAAACATCAAAACGACAATCCAAGTCAATGAACATCGCCGATTGCCCCAATCCGCCGTAGATGACTCCGTTCCACTGTTCGGGGAGGATACAAGTGATGGCGGCCTGGATTAAGATGTGGGTTTTCGAAGAAGAAGACGGGCCTACGAGCTCAACAGTGTTACCGACGCGTAGAGGAACCCTGTGAAGCGGGGGAAGTAGCAAAAAGGGTCGCGCCGTTAGGACCCTTTCTAGCATTTCTCTAGCGTTCTCGTCTTCAACGAGCCATGATTTGGCATGTGAACCCATTTTCTCGGATACAAATTGCCAGTTTCTTGGAGAAATTAATGAAGTTGTCGTTGACCATTCATAATGATCGTCGACATGTAGCTACCGGGAGATAAAATGTAAAGCTCCCGAAGGGAAGATAAAATGCATAACGCTTGTCGACGTAGAACTACATTACAGGTCACTCAATTATTAGTTAGGTTATAAGTAGGTCATATTTTTATATAAATTACAACTTAATCATCCACTTAAAACATTATTATAAACCGATCATTTCGTCATTAAAATAGGAATATTACAGTTTTTAAAACCTATATATTCTGTTAATTAATCAAAATTTAAAATAATTAATAAATATAATTTCATTTATAAAATTCTATCAATTTAATACTTGTTCTTCTCCGAGTTATTTGTTCTTCATTCAAAATCATTAATTAATCTAGCAGATAATTTTATAAATATAAAAGCATTTACCTTTAATTTTTAATATTATATGTTTTATTAGAATCTACAATAAGAATGTCATTTTACTCTGCAAAAATGTAAGATAGTTGATGGAAACGATAATGATTTTTATTACGATGTACAATATTTTATTCGTTATACTTTTAGTAATTTTTAGATGTCTACCGCTAAAAAAAAGTTAATAACACATGTTAGTTTTTATTTTTTATTTTTTTTAAATAAAATATTTTAAAAAATATAAATATAAAACATATCAATTTTCGTTTTTTAATGATCGGCACCTAAAAGTGTACATCATTTTTAACAAAAAATTTCTTAGACACCAAAAATCAATTTTAAGTATAATTTATACGTTTATTTTTATATTAAGTCTTTTATTAATGGGTTGAGTATTTATATACATTATGAAAAGAAAATAACCCTCAATTATGTCATTATCATGAATTAATTATATAAAAATTATTACTAAAAGTTGATAATTTACCAAATCAATATTTAAATATCTTAATAAAATTAAGAAAACCCTCAATATTTAATCAAAATATAACGCATAAGAAGATAATTTACCAAATCAAAATTTAAATATCTTAATAAAATTAAAAAAAAAACCCACAATATTTAATGAAATTATTACTATACAGGTTTTCTTTCTGACAAAGTTTCGAGCAGTCTCATGGTTCAAGGCCTGGTTTCCAACGCCATCGACCCCCTCCGATGTTTTGGTTAATGATTTGTCTTTAGCCGACAATGGCTTCAGTACGGTCACTCATATTGCGGTGGAAGAAGGGTGGTTACTACCACTCCTGGTTTCATAAAGTTAAATGTGGATGGGGCTGTGTCAGCTTCTTGGCGTGGAGGCGGTATTGGTGGGATATTTGGTGATCGGAATGGGGATTGTCTTGATTCTTTCTCAACAGCAGTAGGGCAGGGACCTCCGGTGCAAGCTGAGTTGTCAGCAATAAGACATGATATTGATATTTTTCTCGAGATGCAATATAGTAAGGAAAAGAGGTTGATTGTAGAAAGTATGGTTTTCAGAATCTGATCGGTTAGTAAATTGACTATGTTATCGATTCACTGATTTAATCGGTCGAATCGATCTGATCGGTCGGAAGAACCGGACGACGTCATAATTATTTAAAAAAATTAAATAAAAATACAAAAAATATTTAAAAAATAATAATTTTTTATATCACAAGTTATATTCAAAACAAGTCATAACATATATAAGTTAAAAACCATAAAATCAAGTGAAACAAAATGATTCAAATTATCTATAACATAATATTTAAGGTAAAACATATTAAATAATAAATATAATTATATAACTATAATTAAAAAATAAATTTGGGGCTAAAAAAAGCATAACAAAATGATATTGTTTGGTTTAATTTTTTTTTTAAAAACAATCTCACATGGCTAAGAAACATAGAAGAACATCCCAACTAACTTTTATAAATAATAGAGGTAATTTTGGCATTCAAAATCATGGAGTCTTTTGGTGAGCATTGAGTGAACTATTCTTTCACTTTAATCAAGCTCGAATTTTAAGCTTCAATTGAGCTTCTAATTTTTTTTTTAGTTTAAGCCTTTTCGAGTTCAAGTTTCAATATTATATTTCGAGTTCGAGTTGAACTTGATAATTTTTAGCTCGTGAGTTTGAGTTGAGTTGAGCTTACTTTTAAAGTTTTCAAGTTCGAGTCGAGCTCAGCAATATTCGAGTTTGACTTGGCTCGTTTAACAAACGACGTTGTTTGGTTTAATTTTTTTATAAAAAAATAAAATTAGCGAGTTTTTTTTTTCAGTTTTTCCCGGGTTTTTTCAGTTTTCAGCCGGTCCGGTTCAACAGTTCCGATCGATTCACTAATAGCGGTTTAACCGGTGTAGATTGAACCTGATTAGACATCGATTCTCGATTGAATCGGCCGGTTCGATCCGGTCCGATTTTCAAAACACTGGTAGAAAGTGACTGCAAGACGGCTTTAGAATGGGTTAATGACCCCTTGAATTGTCCTGGCCCCTTCTTGAATCTGGTTAGAGGTATTGAAATAATAGTAAAAGGAACGGACAATTGTTCTTCGCCACGTTGGGAGAAGTGTGAACGTTAAAGCAGCTGAGTTAGCGAAGCATGGAACTGGGTAGGAAGGCCAGTAAGAGGGAGGATGAAACTCTCTGGGATCATTTTTTGTGTTTTGAGATCAAGGAAGGCCAATAAGACGGAGGATTGAATTTTTTTGAGTCGAGATTATGAAATTGTAACTCGAGATGACTATCCAGCTCAGTTGATAGAGCACAATGTTCTTAACGTTGAGGTCGTTGGATCGAGTCCCACGGAGGGCATTTCATAATTCGAAAGTCTTCTATGGAAGCTGCTCTCAACCTGGTGTTGGGGCAGCCTACTATCTTACCTCTCACTTACCCTATTATTTCATAATTCGAAAGTCTTCTATGGAAGATGCTCTCATTGGGGGCAGCCTACTATCTTACCTCCCCCTTAACCTATTACATATAGGAACAAGGGACATCCATTTTTTTTATGAAATTGTAACTCGAATTCAATTCGAGTCGAGTTTTTCAATTCGAATCGAGTTGAAATAATCAATTTTTCGAGTCGGGTTTTGCTCACCCCTAGTCATCATATTATTTTCCCTCCAACTTAGAAACAAACCTAATATGACTCTTTGATCAACGTTTTTCATCGTTGAGCGTTATGGTGCTGACATGATGATCCACAGTGCTAATGTGGCAGTCATCTGCAATTTTTGAATTATCAATTTAGCTCATATTCCATGTCATCTGTCACGATATTAACTATTGTGAACTGCCACGACAACACTATAAACTGTCACATCAACATCGTGAACTGACATGTCAACACTGTAACGGTCAACGGCTAAAATCGTTGGTCAAATGGTCATATTGTGTTTATTTTCTGGGTTGGAGGGCTACTTTGAGAGAAAAAATAGGGTAAACTACATAAATGACCACATAATTATGGGCTGGGTCGCGAAATGACCATTATTTTCAAATTTGTATAAATATGGCCATTGAACTATGTAAATGAGTTCAATATACCGTTAACATTTAACGGAAGTGTATTCGTGACAGTTAACCGAATTAGTATAATTAGGGCAAGAATCATTGTAAAGTTACATATTCATGACGATGGAACCCTACTTTGATTAAGATTGCATTTTGGCCACTAATTGTGTATAATTTGTTTCATTGGATTTCCGTTTAATACAATTTGATCCCGATTCAATTTTTAATTTGTCTAATGTCTTAATTGATCATTAACTTTAAAAAAAAATTATTCTAGTTATGTATGAAATTTGTAGATCAAATCCCCTAGATTTTTATCAATTTGATCACCAATATTAACTTTAGTTTTTAAATTTTAATTAAATTATAATTTCAATTTAATTTGATAAACTTATTTCTCCAATCAAATTGTGACACATGTCACAATCTTATGATTATAATTGTATACTAACTATAATATATATATATATATATATATATATATATATATATATATATATATATATATATTATAATTTGAATATTAAATTATTTTTAATGATTTCATATATATAATCATTAAAAAATAAATATGAAAACAATAATTATAGTTTAAAAATATTAAAATCTTAAATCAATTATAAATAAACTATTAGATTTATTTTAATGATTTAAGTGTTGTCATGTTCTCAATTGGCCTAGATCTAAGTTCTCACTTGTCCATTTTTATTTATTTTTATCATTAAGGGTGCGTTTGGTTCACGGAATGTAAGATTACTAGTGGGAATGTAAGATTACCAGGGAATAGGATTACTGGGAATGTTGTATTTTGTGTTTGGTTGACTTAGCATGAATGTAAGATTACCGTGTTTGGTTAAAGGAATAAAAAATTATTTGAATGTATATTTGACCAAATTGTCCTTATTATATATTTATTTTTTTAACAAGTTGAAAAATATTTATATATATTTTCTTTAAAAAATTTAAATTTATAAAATTTATATAATTATTTTTACAAAATTGGAAATATAAAAAGGTTTAATGAAAGGGTAAAATTTTATTTTAACCCCTGAACTTCATACAAAATTTTAATTATAGATTTTTTTTGTAAATATAAAATAATTTAAGGATAAATTTGTAATTTAACCTTCGTAGAATTTTTATTATTCAATGACAGAATAAGAATATTTTTGAAAGAAAAAGAAATTTAAGGACATTTTAGTCCAAAACGTCGGTAATCCAATAATACCTAAGGAAATGGAGGTAATGACATTCCCGGTAATATATCCAAAAAAATCCACTATTGGTAATCTTACATTACTGGGAATGGGATTCCCGGGCTAACCAAACGGAGGAATGTTGATTACATTTGTCACACCCTAATATGGGGTTATATTTTTATGAAGTTTGAAATAACAGTTTTAAAAAAATTATTAGGTTCACCGGAAATATTATGAAGATTTGGGGACCTTGAATATAATTTGTCCTTGATTATTGTTAATTTAAGATGGTTCTAGAGAATGAGAAATCGATTTTTAGTTGATTTAGATCTTACTGATAAATATTATTTTAGTCAAAATAAAAAGAGGGCCGCAAATTATGAGATATTTTAAAGAAAAGTTAGGTTTTAAAATGGATAATGAGGATAATGGGAAACCAAGCTCAACCGACACTTTCTATGGTTGAAGGCAAGTTGCCATTTCTTAAAAAAAAAAATCTAACATGACATGTGAGTCCATGGGATCCACACACTAATTTTGCTTGCCAGATACAAAAGAAAGGGTTTCATTCCAGCATTCTATAAATAACTTAGTTTCATCCGTTTAACTTTCTATCCACCACCATTTGGGTTTGACAAAACATCTTATCTAAGGTTCTCCACTTCCATTAAAGCTTCAATCCTTGGTTCTTTATCGTAATCACTTGGTAGTTTCATACCAAGTTTCCATTAAAATTTCATCGTGGGGTTTGGATTACGTGGTGATTACAAGCGTGGACCGGGATGGTTTGGCTGATCAAGGAAGTGGGCATTTTGCGGAAAAGGTTGAGAAGTTGAAAACTTTGAAGCCTAAAATGCTTATAGAAGCCTTGGTTCCTGATTTCCGGGGAGATGCCGGCTGTGTAGAGAAAGTTACAAAATCTGGGTTGGATGTCTTTGCTCACAATATTGAGACTGTTGAAGAACTTCAAAGGGATGTACGTGATGACCGAGCTAATTTTAAGCAATCATTGGATGTTCTAATGATGGCCAAAGAGTATGCTCCTGCTGGAACACTTACCAAGACTTCAATAATGTTAGGATGTGGAGAAACGCCTAATCAAGTTGTGAAAACAATGGAGAAGGTTCGAGCAGCAGGTGTTGATGTGATGACATTCGGTCTGTATTTGAGACCATCAAAGCGCCACATGCCCGTATTAGAATACATTACACCTGAAGCCTTTGAGAAATATAGAGCCCTTGGCATGGAAATGGGTTTTGACAAACAAACGTGGTTGAACTCAACCAGCTTATCGTTCTCATGGTTCATGAATTACGGGTTTAACAAAAACGGCGGTAGCATGGGATCGTGGAGAGCGTAAGGGAAGGTGTTGAAGAAATAACAAAGGTGACCAAGTGATTTCGATCTTTCAAGGTGAGTTTGGGCATCTTCAATTTGCTTTCTTTAGTTTAATAGGACATGAACATGATCACGTGTTGGGGAATTGTAGATAACATGCAAAAAGGGATAAACCACAAGGTATGTCATCCAAGTTTGGTGAGATCTTTACCTTATCTCTTAGTTTCCAAGTGGTTAAAATTATGACATAATAGTTTTTACAAGATCAATTTAGTCCATGATGTTAGTAATTAAATATTACTAGCTCTTCAAGTTTTTAGTTATGCAAATTGAGTTTCCAAATTATTATTGATTCTAATAAATTATTTTTATGGTGAGGAAATTATCTGGAATTGAGTTCATATATTTGATGGTCCGGGTACGTGAGAGAAAAATTAAAAGCTCGAAATCAAATATAATGAGTTCAAATTCGAGAAAAATGAGGTTCTGGCAGTGTATTTGATTATACCTGAAAAAGGCATATTTTGGATTCTCTTCGACGTCCTGGGTCCGAATCCGAAGTTCTTTTTGCCAAATTCGCACTCGGTAAGTCATTTTCCATATTTTACCTTTGGATTCAAGTTAGCTTCTCAATTAAGTTCAGTCTTTGATGTAAATTTGGTTGCTTTGTATCCGATGAATTATTGGAAGTTGACTTAAAGATTGAGGGTGTTCGAATTGAATGTAAATGATCGATCAATATGGAACAGAAATCGAGGTAATACTTTACTACCTCTTTATGCTTTATAGAACATGTTGGTATTGGTAAATGCATGAATGGAAATGTTTGGTCTCATATGTGTAATTAATGAAGATCTACACTAGATACGAATACGGTAGAAAGTAGATAACTGAATATGGCTCAGATGACTATTATAAGAAATTGGAGGATAGTTGGAATTAAATTACAAGTTCTAGAATTAAGTAATAAAAGAATCAACCATGGATTGTAGATTATAATTTATCTCATTAAAGGTACTTAGATGATAAATTATGAGAATATTTTGATTAGGGAAAATTACGAAATTACCCTTATGTTGGAAAATGACAAGAATTGTCTCTGGAAGTGGATTAATAAATCTGAAAATAATTATTGATCTGCTAAAACTATTGATGTGCATAAGGAATGTTAGTTTTACTTGGAAATTACGGAGAATCGGTTTTTAACCCCAAGAAGGTTTATGCTAGATACTAGAAGTCTTTTAAGGAATCATCTCAAGATCAAAGAATGTTCGAGGAAGCAATTAATCATAGGATCTCTATATTATATTATTTTCATTAAGATTTAATATCGAAATTAAATGGTTAAGAAATTACGAAAATACCCTTGAGAGATAAAATAGTCTGAATTGACCCTGAATGAGAAAGTACCTTGAGGATTTGTACTTAACTCGATTAAGTACGGATTTAATTGTTAAGATCATGTTTTTGTACAGAAAAATTCATGATATTCCGTTTGTAAAATCTGAGAAGACACTTGACCCGAAAATATTCGAATAATGAGTAAATACTTGAAGAGTAATTTATCGGGGGTATTCTGCTGTCAGAATTGTTCGAAAGGACTGAGTAAATGATAAGATTGAATTAAATAATAAGATCGGATGGCAGGAAAAGATTGAAATACCGTAGATCTGTAAAATGACCAAAATACCCCTGTAGTGTAAATGACTCAAGAATGTCACCAAGCTCAGGAATGATTGGATATCCTCGAGCTCTGAAATGAATGGAATAAAACTGAACACCAAAATTACCAAAATACCCTTATGACCTATATTAAGTAAATGTATTGGATTAATTAAGGAATCCAAATAAGCATAGGTGTTAGACTACCTTTAAAAGTAATGGAGCACAACTTAAGTAAGCCGATCAACTTTAATGATATGTCAGTACCTGAACGACATAGATATTACTTGAATGTGTGTTCGTCTACTCAAGTTTAGCTCGATGATAATTTTAGAAGTATTCAGCTCAGCTCAACTCTAGATCGCATTCAGTATTAAGAATTGGACGTTTGTTCGACAAATCAACCAAGAAGACCAAATTGAATGGATCTGAAGTACAATATATATCTGAAATTCAGGAACGTTTGTATTACTATAGAAAATCCCGAAGTAACTGGAATGGACTTGAATGCTAAATGAACTAAGTAACTTCAATGATTGAGGATTAAGTAAGTGATTAGGATAAGCCTGGAAATTCGGATGAATTTACATGATGTATCGTCCTTATGGAACATGAACTACAAATCAAGCACGTCAGTATTTCATGATATCGTGGAAGCTTGGAAATGAAATAAAGACCATTGGAATATCTATTCAACGATGATTCTGAAGATGATCTATGGACAAGAATGTGTGGTATTAAAGAGTAAATACCCTAGAAGGAAAATGAATTAACCAGTCGACATAGATTATTAAGGTTCTGAATCTTCGTTCTCAAGTTGTTCGATTATTCGATCAATTGACATGGATGTAAAGGATTCTGAATACCCTTCTGATTACGTACAACTTCTGAAAACTATCCGAATAAGATATGATCCTGATAATTCACATTCTGAATAACTGATGATTCTGTCAGTTAATGAACTCTTCCAATAGTGATTCTAAATTCCAACATTCTATCGACATACTAAAGAACTATGTTTCTCTGCCTGATACAGTACCTCTAAATAATACCTGTAAACTCTGGTGTGTTCCCTAATTACATGAATATTTTATCTGATTTCAAATTTGAATTCTGTTATGATATTGACCTGGATTCTGATCTGATATTTACATGGATTCTGATCTGATACATGACCTGAATTATGATATGATACTTGACTTGAATTATGTTTTGATTTTTGCTATATCCGTTTACGGACGGAACATGTTTTATTGGGGGGTATTGTTGGAGGAAGATTACTTGGAGGCTCCTTGGCTGTGTGCTCAGGGCCTTACTTGCAGGCTCCTCGGCTTTGTGCTCAGGGCCTTACTGTTCGTGACGGGGTTGTATGGTTCTGGGGAACCTACACATTTTGTTCGTGACGGATGGGGGTATATATATATGTTTTAAAAAGATCTGAAAAGTTACATGGTTTTTGGGAACACACTAGAAAACCTATTCTGATCTCCTGAACTCAGTCATCCGAAATATTTCTCTGAAACGAAAGCTCATTGTCCGTTACCACCTGAAATATCAGTAGGATCTCTGCTCAACATAAAAATCTGTAAATATCTGAACCAATAAGGAAAATATGTTTATCTATATCTGCACGTTTTTCAGCATCATCTGGTAGTTCTGTATTACTGAGCTTTCCAAAGCTCACTCTATTACTCACCTTTTCAGGTTAAAAGAATTGTACCAGTGCATCTATCGACTTCAGTAAGGGAGTTCTTCCGGCGTTGTTGCAGAGTATGGTACATGTGATTAGGGGGCATGTAATTGTATTTTGTTTTAAATACGAGTCTGAAATCTATTTTATTTCTGAATACTGATAAATGATTTTATGAGTTTACATGTTCTGATAAAAAGTTTTAAATTTTCCGCTATTTTTATAGAGGGTCGCTCCGGTGGCCCTAATGTGACTTCCCGGATCGGATCGGGTTACCCGCATCGGTCTGGGGGGTTACATTTAGTGGTATCAGAGCCATGGTTTGAGTTAAAATTTTTCAAGATAGATCGGCCGGTCAAATGTCAAAATATGTCTAATCAGTACATGCTCCTATACTGCAATCGTACTTCTCTGAGTCGGAACTCCAAGGTTGTGTCTCTATCTGTAGTGAGCAAACCTAAGTTTTCATCCGTTAGGACTCTATCGTTTTATAAAGGGAGACTAGTAACATCTGTCTAAATTTTGTAAAGTACAACACGAGCCATGTGAGATTTACTCTTCTGAGAAATTATGACCCGACTCTAGAAATGGAATTGAGATATGCTACTGCTCTATGAGACTATTCTGGTGACCAAGACTGAATTAATTCTTCAAGGAAATTTTCGTTCGGATTCTTTTATTGAAATGAGGAAAAGTTTTGATAAGAATGTATGCTCAACTGGTTAAGGATTAGTGGAGGATTCGTACTTCTGTGAAAGCTACTTGAAGATATGGAAGAATTGTTTGAATTTTCATTTTTTGTAATTCTGTTACATGAATGAATTTCGAGGTCGAAATTCTTTTGAGGAGGGGAGAATTGTCACACCCTAATATGGGGTTATATTTTTATGAAGTTTGAAATAACAGTTTTAAAAAAATTATTAGGTTCACCGGAAATATTATGAAGATTTGGGGACCTTGAATATAATTTGTCCTTGATTATTGTTAATTTAAGATGGTTCTAGAGAATGAGAAATCGATTTTTAGTTGATTTAGATCTTACTGATAAATATTATTTTAGTCAAAATAAAAGAGGGCCGCAAATTATGAGATATTTTAAAGAAAAGTTAGGTTTTAAAATGGATAATGAGGATAATGGGAAACCAAGCTCAACCGACACTTTCTATGGTTGAAGGCAAGTTGCCATTTCTTAAAAAAAAAAATCTAACATGACATGTGAGTCCATGGGATCCACACACTAATTTTGCTTGCCAGATACAAAAGAAAGGGTTTCATTCCAGCATTCTATAAATAACTTAGTTTCATCCGTTTAACTTTCTATCCACCACCATTTGGGTTTGACAAAACATCTTATCTAAGGTTCTCCACTTCCATTAAAGCTTCAATCCTTGGTTCTTTATCGTAATCACTTGGTAGTTTCATACCAAGTTTCCATTAAAATTTCATCGTGGGGTTTGGATTACGTGGTGATTACAAGCGTGGACCGGGATGGTTTGGCTGATCAAGGAAGTGGGCATTTTGCGGAAAAGGTTGAGAAGTTGAAAACTTTGAAGCCTAAAATGCTTATAGAAGCCTTGGTTCCTGATTTCCGGGGAGATGCCGGCTGTGTAGAGAAAGTTACAAAATCTGGGTTGGATGTCTTTGCTCACAATATTGAGACTGTTGAAGAACTTCAAAGGGATGTACGTGATGACCGAGCTAATTTTAAGCAATCATTGGATGTTCTAATGATGGCCAAAGAGTATGCTCCTGCTGGAACACTTACCAAGACTTCAATAATGTTAGGATGTGGAGAAACGCCTAATCAAGTTGTGAAAACAATGGAGAAGGTTCGAGCAGCAGGTGTTGATGTGATGACATTCGGTCTGTATTTGAGACCATCAAAGCGCCACATGCCCGTATTAGAATACATTACACCTGAAGCCTTTGAGAAATATAGAGCCCTTGGCATGGAAATGGGTTTTGACAAACAAACGTGGTTGAACTCAACCAGCTTATCGTTCTCATGGTTCATGAATTACGGGTTTAACAAAAACGGCGGTAGCATGGGATCGTGGAGAGCGTAAGGGAAGGTGTTGAAGAAATAACAAAAGGTGACCAAGTGATTTCGATCTTTCAAGGTGAGTTTGGGCATCTTCAATTTGCTTTCTTTAGTTTAATAGGACATGAACATGATCACGTGTTGGGGAATTGTAGATAACATGCAAAAAGGGATAAACCACAAGGTATGTCATCCAAGTTTGGTGAGATCTTTACCTTATCTCTTAGTTTCCAAGTGGTTAAAATTATGACATAATAGTTTTTACAAGATCATTTAGTCCATGATGTTAGTAATTAAATATTACTAGCTCTTCAAGTTTTAGTTATGCAAATTGAGTTTCCAAATTATTATTGATTCTAATAAATTATTTTTATGGTGAGGAAATTATCTGGAATTGAGTTCATATATTTGATGGTCCGGGTACGTGAGAGAAAAATTAAAAGCTCGAAATCAAATATAATGAGTTCAAATTCGAGAAAAATGAGGTTCTGGCAGTGTATTTGATTATACCTGAAAAAGGCATATTTTGGATTCTCTTCGACGTCCTGGGTCCGAATCCGAAGTTCTTTTTGCCAAATTCGCACTCGGTAAGTCATTTTCCATATTTTACCTTTGGATTCAAGTTAGCTTCTCAATTAAGTTCAGTCTTTGATGTAAATTTGGTTGCTTTGTATCCGATGAATTATTGGAAGTTGACTTAAAGATTGAGGGTGTTCGAATTGAATGTAAATGATCGATCAATATGGAACAGAAATCGAGGTAATACTTTACTACCTCTTTATGCTTTATAGAACATGTTGGTATTGGTAAATGCATGAATGGAAATGTTTGGTCTCATATGTGTAATTAATGAAGATCTACACTAGATACGAATACGGTAGAAAGTAGATAACTGAATATGGCTCAGATGACTATTATAAGAAATTGGAGGATAGTTGGAATTAAATTACAAGTTCTGGAATTAAGTAATAAAAGAATCAACCATGGATTGTAGATTATAATTTATCTCATTAAAGGTACTTAGATGATAAATTATGAGAATATTTTGATTAGGGAAAATTACAAAATTACCCTTATGTTGGAAAATGACAAGAATTGTCTCTGGAAGTGGATTAATAAATCTGAAAATAATTATTGATCTGCTAAAACTATTGATGTGCATAAGGAATGTTAGTTTTACTTGGAAATTACGGAGAATCGGTTTTTAACCCCAAGAAGGTTTATGCTAGATACTAGAAGTCTTTTAAGGAATCATCTCAAGATCAAAGAATGTTCGAGGAAGCAATTAATCATAGGATCTCTATATTATATTATTTTCATTAAGAGTTAATATCGAAATTAAATGGTTAAGAAATTACGAAAATACCCTTGAGAGATAAAATAGTCTGAATTGACCCTGAATGAGAAAGTACCTTGAGGATTTGTACTTAACTCGATTAAGTACGGATTTAATTGTTAAGATCATGTTTTTGTACAGAAAAATTCATGATATTCCGTTTGTAAAATCTGAGAAGACACTTGACCCGAAAATATTCGAATAATGAGTAAATACTTGAAGAGTAATTTATCGGGGGTATTCTGCTGTCAGAATTGTTCGAAAGGACTGAGTAAATGATAAGATTGAATTAAATAATAAGATCGGATGGCAGGAAAAGATTGAAATACCGTAGATCTGTAAAATGACCAAAATACCCCTGTAGTGTAAATGACTCAAGAATGTCACCAAGCTCAGGAATGATTGGATATCCTCGAGCTCTGAAATGAATGGAATAAAACTGAACACCAAAATTACCAAAATACCCTTATGACCTATATTAAGTAAATGTATTGGATTAATTAAGGAATCCAAATAAGCATAGGTGTTAGACTACCTTTAAAAAGTAATGGAGCACAACTTAAGTAAGCCGATCAACTTTAATGATATGTCAGTACCTGAACGACATAGATATTACTTGAATGTGTGTTCGTCTACTCAAGTTTAGCTCGATGATAATTTTAGAAGTATTCAGCTCAGCTCAACTCTAGATCGCATTCAGTATTAAGAATTGGACGTTTGTTCGACAAATCAACCAAGAAGACCAAATTGAATGGATCTGAAGTACAATATATATCTGAAATTCAGGAACGTTTGTATTACTATAGAAATCCCGAAGTAACTGGAATGGACTTGAATGCTAAATGAACTAAGTAACTTCAATGATTGAGGATTAAGTAAGTGATTAGGATAAGCCTGGAAATTCGGATGAATTTACATGATGTATCGTCCTTATGGAACATGAACTACAAATCAAGCACGTCAGTATTTCATGATATCGTGGAAGCTTGGAAATGAAATAAAGACCATTGGAATATCTATTCAACGATGATTCTGAAGATGATCTATGGACAAGAATGTGTGGTATTAAAGAGTAAATACCCTAGAAGGAAAATGAATTAACCAGTCGACATAGATTATTAAGGTTCTGAATCTTCGTTCTCAAGTTGTTCGATTATTCGATCAATTGACATGGATGTAAAGGATTCTGAATACCCTTCTGATTACGTACAACTTCTGAAAACTATCCGAATAAGATATGATCCTGATAATTCACATTCTGAATAACTGATGATTCTGTCAGTTAATGAACTCTTCCAATAGTGATTCTAAATTCCAACATTCTATCGACATACTAAAGAACTATGTTTCTCTGCCTGATACAGTACCTCTAAATAATACCTGTAAACTCTGGTGTGTTCCCTAATTACATGAATATTTTATCTGATTTCAAATTTGAATTCTGTTATGATATTGACCTGGATTCTGATCTGATATTTACATGGATTCTGATCTGATACATGACCTGAATTATGATATGATACTTGACTTGAATTATGTTTTGATTTTTGCTATATCCGTTTACGGACGGAACATGTTTTATTGGGGGGGTATTGTTGGAGGAAGATTACTTGGAGGCTCCTTGGCTGTGTGCTCAGGGCCTTACTTGCAGGCTCCTCGGCTTTGTGCTCAGGGCCTTACTGTTCGTGACGGGGTTGTATGGTTCTGGGGAACCTACACATTTTGTTCGTGACGGATGGGGGTATATATATGTTTTAAAAAGATCTGAAAAGTTACATGGTTTTTGGGAACACACTAGAAAACCTATTCTGATCTCCTGAACTCAGTCATCCGAAATATTTCTCTGAAACGAAAGCTCATTGTCCGTTACCACCTGAAATATCAGTAGGATCTCTGCTCAACATAAAAATCTGTAAATATCTGAACCAATAAGGAAAATATGTTTATCTATATCTGCACGTTTTTCAGCATCATCTGGTAGTTCTGTATTACTGAGCTTTCCAAAGCTCACTCTATTACTCACCTTTTCAGGTTAAAAGAATTGTACCAGTGCATCTATCGACTTCAGTAAGGGAGTTCTTCCGGCGTTGTTGCAGAGTATGGTACATGTGATTAGGGGGCATGTAATTGTATTTTGTTTTAAATACGAGTCTGAAATCTATTTTATTTCTGAATACTGATAAATGATTTTATGAGTTTACATGTTCTGATAAAAAGTTTTAAATTTTCCGCTATTTTTATAGAGGGTCGCTCCGGTGGCCCTAATGTGACTTCCTGGATCGAATCGAGTTACCCGCATTGGTCTGGGGGGTTACAACATTCCCATGAGAATCTCACATTCCCCCGTCCAAATACCCCCTAACTATAATATATATATATATATATATATATACACACACATTATAATTGATTCCTAAATATTACATTTAGCTTATTGGTTAAGGCTTGCTTGATTACTAAATAATTTTTGGTTCAAATCCAATTAAGTTATTTTAATTTTTTTTCTGTCTAAACTTGAACAAGTTATATAAGATATGTATTATTTCAATAACAAGCGTGAGAATTGGCTCGGTGGTTAAGGCACGTACAGGTTACCTTTGGGACCCAAGTTGGATTCCCTTGGGTGTTAAAACTCATTTTTATTTATTTTCACTTCAATTTAAAAGGTGACACATGTCATCTTTGGATTAGATTGAAAATTTATTAAATCAATTAAATTGAAATTAAAAAAAACCCTCTAATTAGATTGTGACATGTGTCACAATTTGATTAGAGAAATAAATTTATTTAGTTAAATTGAAATTAGGATCTAATTAAAAATTAAGAATTAAAGTTAATATTAGTGATCAAATTTATTAATTCTAAAATCTAAGGGATTTAATCTATAAATTTAATAAATGACTAGAATAAAAGATTTTAAAGTTAATGCTCAAATTAATTCATTAAACAAATTAAAAACATAATCGAGATCAAATTGCATTAAATGAAAATCCAAAGAAACAAATCATACACAAGTAGTGTCCAAAATGGAATAAAACAAAGCAGAATTCCAGCGCCGCGAATACGTAACTTTACAAGAACTCATACCCTAATTATATCAATTTTGTTAATTGTCACGTAGACACTTTCATCAAGTGTTAACGACATGTGACTATATTAAAATCATTTAAAGAGTTAAGTGGTCATATTAAATAGAATTGGTATATAATTGTATAATTAAAAGTTTTCATGTAGGCTATAATCATTGAGCAACTCGACTTCTATTTATTGCTTAAACATGGGATTTCCCCCCACAGTGAAACAACTCGAATATCACCGACAAGACCGACGGAGTAAAAAAAACATAAAGTCCGGTGACCGGTTGGCTGAGGATTGACCCCTTTGGGACATTGTCTATATTATCTACATTACAGACATGATGAAACTTTCTAGAAATCGATGATGGGCTCTCCGACGTTAAGGTTGCGTTCGACCGTCCAAGGCAGGTCGAAGAGTTTTGCTGTGATGAACTTGAAAATCTTGCTCACGTTGATGTTGTATGTAGCACTCGAAAAGAACAGGGTCGCGTTTATGGCCTTCGCATACGCCCTTGCCTGCCATTGCCATATAATTTAGAACCACAACTGAAACGTGCAATGAGATGATCCTCTTACAGACAATAATGAACTTTGTTGTGCCTTGCAATAAGGACAACCAGGGTACTACTAAGAGTCCAAATACTGCAAGAACTGAGAGACAAACACAAATACGAGTATAGCATAACATACAATACTCCAAATGTTCGATAACAGGATACGATGAAAAGGGTGTTTTTGTCACTTTTGTTCATTTTCCTAAACTAAAGGATAATACGTGCATAAGCAACGATGTCTACCAAGCTAGGACTCGATAGGCCATTTGTTCTTCATTCCAAATTCTAAAACATTGATTTGGTATTGGTAATCGTTTGCAAATTCTCAAAAAGGGTGCTTTTAATTCTCAAAGCAAGCGGAATATGCTTTCTTATACATGCAGGATATGATTCAAAGCTTCAACCGGAACTGTAAACTTTACCTGACTGGCGATTGTCCACTGCAAATCTAGGGGAAGTTCAATGAAATCATCGAATTTGGTTCCTATTAAAATCGGTATTGCTGTCTGCAAAATCAAAGTTTTCATACTAATGAGAAATTTTCTAAACACGCACACACATACACATTTGCTGATGAGAAGCTCTATGTTGCGGTCGGTATGACCATTGTGCACAAATCGGTATTGTCCTCTTTGTATGCCATGGACGTTGTTAAGATCTTGTCACTCTAAGGTGTGTCATCCGAATTCAAACTCAAGATCTCCTAATCTTATAGGAGTCCTTTTTGCAACTGGGGTACCAAACGATCTAGCGAAAAATTATTCGTAAGAACAACCTTAGGGTAACAAAACCTTCCAAAAGGCACAATACTGATCGATACAATACATACACACATAAATATATATTAAAACATATACATTTCAACAAGGTTCAATCATAGAGTTAAGAAAGTGAATACCTGATTCCATTTCCTGGCTTCTTGATACCAGTTTACGATGCTGCATCCAAAGAAGACAGACCCCTTTTGATTTAGAAACATCAACCCAGATTTTGAAGTACCAAGGGCATACATTAAGCAAAATTACAACAATTGTTTTTCAGTTTTGATTCAAATGGAGATGTTGGAGTGGAAAATTAAGAGATTCATACTTGTTCAAAGTGCACCTGCTCGTGAGATCGAACATGAAAAGAATTGCTACAGAGTCTTTACAAGCCAGAGGAATATGATCTCGAGATTTATCAACACCTGCGTTTTTCGATTTGAAAAAACAAATAGATAAACAGATTGATGGTTAAATATAAGCAAAATCAAACGAAAATTAAAGAGACAAAAAATGGGGTTACCATCAACTTCCCAGATGCAGTAATAGATCCTTGCTCCACTTACAAAAAATGTTTTATCCATCAAATTCAACCCTTTCTCTTGATTGCCTTGTTCGAACTCGATTTCATTTCCAATGTATTTCATCTTCAAAAAAACAAGATAAATATGAGTATTTAAATATAATATAGGGGGTAAATAGAGAGAGGGAAGGGATTTGAATTTGATTAAGCTAATGGGGCTAACCAGAAAGCTAGTTTTCCCGGTTTGAGCATCACCCAGGAGACTGATCTTCAACTGAACCAAATCCGAGTCCTTTCGCTCATGGTGGCCGTGGTAACAAACAGGCGCCGTTCCGCCTCTCGATGAAGCGGAATGCGGCGGAGCATGCGAAGGTGCGGAGGGGGTTGCAGCGATTATAACTCGATACCGATGCTTCATAGGCTTCGGCAGGGAACAAATAAGGAATCGGTCCCAAAAGCCACGAATGCAGCGTCGGAGAATCAACCCGCGACGCTGGAACCCGCGACGGAGGTTGAGTTTAACCAACCTGGGGCAGAATCGGGTCATAATCCGGCAATCTTTCTCGCCTAGAACGACGAGAATCACGATGATTTTGGCCGTGGAAAAAGAAAGAGACACAATAAGAAGCCTGGAGAAAGAAAACAAGTTTGAAATTTTTGGGACGTGAGCTTTTAGCGACGAAAATGAACTACTTTAACGGGACTGTTGACCGCGCAGTGGACGTTCGTTTTGGTTCCCAAATCCAAATTGCCGGCTGGTTTCTGCTTTCCGGTTGCCTTTCACATCACATAAACAAATGATTTATATAGACACAAAATGAAAGTTTTGAACTGAGCTAACCACCAAAATCTCCACTTTTTCATTTAATTTTGATAATAAATTTTTAACAACTCAAACAAATAAATTTAAGGTTTGGGTTCAAACAGCTACGATTAAAAAAATCTGAATATTATCCATATATTGATTTAATATATTGTAAATTATTTTATATTAATATTTATATATTTTTATAATTAAAATTTAAATTAAAAAAATATTTTAGAAGAAAAAAATTCTAGAGAATTTGATTAGTAGAGTAAGCATCTTTCACGCCATTGTCCCTTTTTAATTGACCAAAACTAGGTGGTGGGTCGGTGACAAAATATTTTTGGTTGGTAATAACTGTCGGGGATATTTTAATTTTTTAGGATAAATTATGTATTTAGTATCTAAAGTATTAGTCTATTTTAATATTTAGACTTTAATTTTTTTTAAATCATGCTTAACTTTTAGTTTTTATTTCATTTTAGTACCCTACTGTTAAAAGCTTAATGTGTTTAATACTTAAATTATCAGTTTTGGTCTATTTTAATACATAAATTTTTAATCTTTTCAAAACTTAATGTTAAATTTTGCACGGGGTACTAAAATGAAACAAAAACTAAAGTTTTTAACGACGGGATACTAAAATGAAACAAAAATTAAACTTTAGGTATGGTTTTGAAAAAAATGAAAGTTTAGGTACTGAACGTATAATTTATCCATTTTTAATATAAAATTGTCTCTAAAAATAGGATAAATTACATCACATATCATTTAATTATTAATGAAATTATAAATAAATCATTAAATTTAAAAAAATTAAAAATGAATCACTTAATTAATAGATTGTTACAAGCAAATCACTCTGTCATTAAAAATAAAATGGAAGTTAGACTACTTTATTTATAAATTAAAATAACCAGGTCACTTAATTCATCGATTTTTATAGTCATACAACTAAAATATAATTAAAAAGGTCAAAGGTTTGATGTATAGAATGACATATTTACAACTTAAGTGCTTTATTTTTAACTATTAAAATCCAATATTTTTCTTACTAATAATTGAGTGACGTGTTTGTAATTTACCCAAAATATTAATTATTCGTTTTTTTATTTAACCAAACGAATATTAAATTCAACGAAACAGACGTGGAAGCATGCTGGTCTCTAATGAATTGACCAATGTTTTCCGAACATTTTTGGTTCATTATTATATTTTTCATTTATGCATGATAGTCGGTGATTATTAATTACATGATGACTTTTAGGGTGTGTTTGGTTGGGGAATGTGAGATTCTCATTTGAATGAAATTCACATTTCCTCGTTTGGTTGGTATTGAATGTCATTCCCGGTAATCTTACATTCTAAATAATGGATTTTTGGGGTATATTACCGATAATGTCATTACCTCACTTTCTTTAGATATTATTAGATTACCGACGTTTTGGACTAAAATGCCCTTAAATTTTTTTTCAAAAATATCATTATTCTATCATTGAATAATAAAAATTCTACGAATGTTAAATTACAAATTTATCCTTGAACTATTTTAGATTTACAAAAAAAATCTATAATTAAAATTTTATATGAAGTTTAAGGGTTAAAATAAAATTTTACCCTTTCATTAAACTTTTTTATATTTTAAATTTTGTAAAAAAAATATATTTTTTATGAATTTAATTTTTAAAGAAAATAAATAAATATTTTTCAACTTGTTAAAAAACAAATATATAATAAGGACAATTTAATTAAGTATACATTCTAATAATCTTTTATTTTTTAACCAAACACGGTAATCTTACATTTCCGCTAAACCAACCAAACACAAAATACAACATTCTCAGTAATTCTATTCCCTGGTAATTTTTTATTCCCATTAATAATCTTACATTCCGTAAACCAAACGCACCCTTAGTGTAATCCAAATATTCAAATTATATTATATTTTCTTAAAATATCTTAAAATTTTCATTCACGGAATCCTAGAAATTGTCATCTAGTTGGGTTAATTCGATTAGATTGGTTAGTTGAGAAAAAAAAGTTTTGGGTTTTATAAAAGGTTAGAGGGTAAATTACATTGTTTATCACTGAACTTTATAATCACTCTTACTTTACTTACCGCACTTTTAATTTTTTTAATTTGTTCACTGAATTTTATATATTGAATCATTTTGCTCACTTCACCGTTATTTTTTTTAATGGTGTTATGACATGGCATAAGTATTAAAATGACGTTTTGAAAAACTAAATATACACTAAAACGACGTCGTTTCAAATCCTTTTCTTTCCCTCACCGTCGGCCACTACCGTGGTGGTTCGAATCTAGTGATGTTTCACAGGAAAATGTCCCAAAATCTATTAATCTCGACTGAAACTTTTCGATTTTCTCACTTTCAATCTCTAATTCGTGGATTTAGAGCAAGTTCCGACAAAATGGAGGTCATATTCGGACTCAAGGTGTCAAGGAGAAACAACCAATGAAATTTGGGACCAAACGATCATCATCTATGGTGGTCTTATAGTTGGATGAGCAAAACAGGAGAGAGATTAAAGTTTAGTAAGGAACGGTGTAATTGACCATTTATATTTTTAATTATTTTATATGAAATAGTAATAAAAAAATGACACATCATCATAATGTTAGAAAGATAACCACATAGTGAATAAAATGATTTAATTTGTAAAATTCAACGGAAAACAATATAGATTACTCAAGGTTAAATTACATTAATGGTCAATACATTTTCACTTCTGTTACCAAGCTTTTGAAATTTACATTATGGTTACTAAATTTTTAATTTTTAATTTACTTTCATTACATCATTATATATCATTGTACATGTTGAAGTTTCATATACATAAACAGATTTCTAGGTTAAGCCAAAAGCTAATAATATTATTTCATCCCAACATTCTAACAAGACAAATCAGTTCATGCAGTTGAGCTGGTCGGAGTTTCCGGAACTGGATTAATCTCACACTGCACGAACATTTTCTTGATCGCTTCCTCTTTCTCATCGATGAAGTCGAAAAAGTTAAAGATGACCTGAGAGAAACGAGTGGTGGTTTGAACCGAAGACGAAGGGCGACTGAGTTTCATTTGCCTCCGCGTGTAGCGGGCGTATTGGCGAACCAATCGTAGAATGAAGATTAGAAGTGCTGCAAGAGTGATCGCACCGCACAAAAGATATAAGCCCCAGAAGCTGGCCAAGTGGAGTTGGTTCGGTTCGGATCTTCTTCTCCTCTCGCCCGGACATCCCATCTTACAGAACCACCGAGCATGGATTTCCTGAAGCTTACCGCTTTCGGAAAGTCTCAGGATTGCGGTCGACATGTCGATGGCAAGCGCGGAATCTCTCTGGAAAGCCTGATACAATGAGGTTAATATTCGATCAGAAATGCCGGCAGTCAAACTATATGCATTTTTATGTGTGTGGAGTTAAAAGTACTTACAAATCCCATCCACTCTTTGTAAATGGTTGACCGATAATCCCGAAATCAGTTCGCTTCGACAGAAATAGTTCCACATAAGGAAGCTCATCAACAATGGCTGCCACCCCTCCGTTATCCGGCCCTAGTCGTAGAGCAGTTTCATACTCTTCCGGGGAGTGTAGTTTAACAAGCCGTGACTTATGGATGTTAAGGGTCTCAGATAGATAACCATACGCAAATGAACCGACTTGGTAACCGATCGGCCAACGGTTAGCAATCAAGCTATCGATTCCAGTGATAGGAGACGAAAGTTGCTGAACCGTAAGGATCGAAGTCAAGTTCGCTGTATAACTAGATGTTACCACCATCAGTAGGAAAAGCCATACCACCATTACCAATCGCCCAAGCGAGCTCACCGTTACTTCCTCTGCATTGTTAGAATGAATACCATCACGTTTAACATCGACTCGGATCCTAAAATTTCAGTAGTTTGAGGTAATTGTTTATATTTTTCATAGAAACAGTAATTGTTTATATTTTTCATAATAAGTTCGGGATCCGAAGTTCGCTTACGGTTTGTCTTAAACAGAGTCGAGATGCTGAACCTGCAATGGTAAACAATTGGATGAGTATTATTCGATGTAGGCAAGCACAAAAAGCGTCGAGAAGCTGTTTATCACTTACATAAACATTGTCATGAGTTGCCTCCTAGGAGGACCACGAAACTCATCGTTGACTCGATGCTCAAGGATCCAAATAACAACTGCGATTATACAGAAGCCACCTGCAGTCATGCACCACATGTCCGCAGTGAATGGTTTTAGAAATACCCAAGCACTTGATTTTGTATTGTGGATCGGAGCTACTACGACGAGACCGGTCGTTATATAAGGCTGAGAAAAATCCACCATTTTCGTCCGGTTTTTCACGATCGCAATGTCCCCAACAGCTGCATCGAACACCTGGTGCCATAATTTAACGAAATGGTTACGAGGAATAAGCTCTATCCATAAACAAACATGCCTCACCGCAATGCAAGACTAAGATTCGTTCTGCAACAGGTCGTTTATCACTTACAGGACCGAGGTTCAACCATGCAAGTAACATCTACCAAATGCAATATATGTAAATAAAGGTCATACTTACATCATCTGCAATCATCTGTATGAGACGATTATAATTAGGATTGGACCGACCATCCCCGAAAAGCTCAAATTTGTAAGGAACATTATAGGGGATGAATTTCAGTGCTTCGGTGAATACATCGATACAGTATCCAGTGATTTTATGGGTGCCATTTAGTTCTGTAACAAAATCAACAAAGCTGGCTCTATATGGCACTCCAACTCTCAACGGGCGTTCATCCTCTGCAATCACCCAGCCACGAGGCCTTTGTGTATTTCCACTGGGCCAAGTAACACTGCCAAGCTTCTGGTCTAACACAGAATGGCCTTTTTTTGTACCTCGAAGGGTTTCG